CCCACGAAACGAGCGTGCGGGCGCTCAGTCGGCCAGAGTGGCGGGATTCGCAAGCCGAGGATCGGCCAGGTCCCACTCTGTGTGCTATCGATCCTGCTACCGCAACCCTCAGTCTGGTCCGATCTTAGGCTGGGAATGAACTCCGTATGCCTAAGCCAACCGACGAAACAAGTGGGCGGGCGGGCGGGCACTACGTCGGCCAGAGAGGCGGGATACGCAAGCCGTGGATCGATAAGGTGGTAGGTGGGTTTAGGCACATCTTCATATTTCTGCCATGCCAATGCCAATTTTCTAGCTTGTAAATTCATACAATGGTCCCTTAAGCCTTCATGTGAAGTTTCATGGCAAGACGACTCGTTTTCTATTTTTCACGATTTTTGAAATTTTTACGGTTCCAGATTTTTTAAAATTTTTTCAGAAGGAGTTTTGGCCCCAAACTTGGTAGACGTGATCCTTGTATTTTTGTTGGCATGCAAAAAAAAAATTCAGCTAAAAACTCGAAGTGTACAAGATTTTGTGAGCATTTGAAAAAAATGTCCCCATTTCAGACACTTAAATGGCTACTGGTAGCAAACCCGTAAAATCTCAAATGCTTCTAAGGGGGTGTGAGTTCTCGAGGTTTGATGAGAGATAGGGGGCCAGTATAATGGCCAAGTACCAGCACCCATCGCACATCATGTGCGCACACCCACCCCGACCCCCCGATCGTCGGAACCCCAATGCCATCGGTCAGGTTCTCCGACGATGGTGTCCCGACGAAGAAAAATACGGCACCAGCACATGCCCGAGCCCAGCATGTGCTGCCACAACCCTTGGTCCGGTCTGATCTTGACTGGGAATGAACTCCGTATGCCTAAGTCAACCCACGAAACGAGCGTGTGGCGCTCAGTCGGCCAGAGTGGCGGGATTCGCAAGTCAAGGATCGACCGGGTCCTCCTCTGCGTGATGTCAATCCTGTTGCCGCAACCCTCAGTCTGGTCCAATCCTAGACTGGGAATGAACTCCGTATGCCTAAGCCAACCGACAAAACGAATGAGCGGGCAAGCAGGCACTGCACCGGCCTGAGAGGCGGGATGCGCAAGCCGTGGATCGATAGGGTGGTAGGTGGGTTTAGGCACATCTTCATATTTTTGCCATGCCAATTTCATTTTTCTAGCTTGTAAATTCATACAATGGTCCCTTAAGCCTTCATGTGAAGTTTCATGGCAAGACGACTCGTTTTCTATTTTTCACAATTTTTGAAACTTTTTAATGTTCAGGATTTTTTAAAATTTTTTCAGAAGGAGTTTTGGGCCCAAACTTGGCAGACGTGATCCTTTTATTTTTGTTGGCATGCACAAAAAAATTCAGCTAAAAACTCGAAGTGTACAGGTTTTGCTGACCATTTGAAAAAAGTGTCCCCATTTCAGACACTTTAATGGCTACTGGCAGCAAACCTGTAAAATCTCAAATGCTCTTTAAGGGGGTGTGAGTTCTCGAGGTTTGATGAGGGATAGGGGGCCAATATAAGGGCCAAGTACAGCACCCATCGCACATCATGTGCGCACACCCCCCGGCCCTCCCCGATCTTCAGAACCCCAATGCCGCCCGTCAGGTTCTCAGGCGATGGTGTCCCAGGGAAGAAAAATACAGCACCAGCACATGCCCGAGCCCAGCTTGTGCTGCTGCAACCTTCGGTCTGGTCCGATCTTAGACTGGGAATGAACTCCGTATAATTAGACTAAGAATGAACTCCGTATGCCTAAGTCAACACATGAAACGAGCGTACGGGCGCTCATTCGGCCAGAGGGGCGGGATGCGCAAGTCGGGGATCGGTCAAGTCCCTCTCTGCATGCTGCCCATCCTACTACCGCAACCCTTGGTCCAGTCCAATCTTAGACTGGGAATGAACTCCGTACGCCTAAGCCAACCAACAAAACGAGCGGGCGGGAGGGCAGGCACTACGCCGGCCGAGAGGCGGGATGCGCTAGCCTTGGATCGATAGGGTGGTAGGTGGGTTTAGGCACATCTTCATATTTTTACTGTGCCAATGCCATTTTTCTGGCTTGTAAATTCATACAATGGTCCCTTAAGCCTTCATGTGAAGTTTCATGGCAAGACGACTCGTTTTCTATTTTTCATGATTTTCCAAACTTTTTACGGTTTGGGATTTTTTAAAATTTTTTTAGAAGGAGTTTTGGTCCGAAACTTGGCAGACGTGATCCTTGTATTTTTTTTGGCATGCACAAAAATATTCAGCTAAAAACTCGAAGTGTACAAGTTTTTGTGACCATTTGAAAAAAGTGTCCCCATTTCAGATACTTTAATGGCTACTGGCAGCAAACCTGTAAAATCTGAAATGCGCTTTAAGGGGGTGTGAGTTCTCGAGGTTTGATGAGCGATAGGGGGCCAATATAAGGGCCAAGCACCAGCACCCATCGAACATCATGTGCGCACACCCACCCCGGCCCCCCCGATCCTCGGAACCCCAATGCCGTCGGTCAGGTTCTCTGACGATGGTGTCCCGGTGAAGAAAAATACGGCACCAGCACATGCCCGAGCCCAGCATGTGCTGCCGTAACCCTCGGTCCGATCTGATCTTAGACTGGGAATGAACTCCGTATGCCTAAGTCAACCCATGAAACGAGCGTGCGGGCGCTCAGCCGGCCAGAGGGGCGGGATGCGCAAGCCGGGGATCGGCCGAGTCCCCCTCTGCGTGCTATCGAACTTGCTGCTGCAACCCTCAGTCCGGTCCGATCTTAGACTGGGAATGAACTCCGTATGCCTAAGCCAACCGACGAAACGAGCGGGTGGGCGGGCAGGCACTACACCGACGAGAGAGGCGGGATGCGCAAACCGTGGATCGATAGGGTGGTAGGTGGGTTTAGGCACATCTTCATATTTCTACCGTGTGAATGGCATTTTTTTGGCTTGTAAATTCATACAATGGTCCCTTAAGCCTTCATGGGAAGTTTCATGGCAAGACGACTCGTTTTTTATTTTTCACTATTTTCCAAATATTTTACGGTTCGAGATTTTTTAAAATTTTTTTAGATGGAGTTTTGGCCCAAAACATTGCAGACGTGATCCTTGTATTTTTTTTGGCATGCACAAAAAAATTCAGCTAAAAACTCGAAGTGTACAAGATTTTGTGACCATTTGAAAAAAGTGTCCGCATTTCTAACACTTTAATGGCTACTGGTAGCAAACCTGTAAAATCTAAAATGCTCTTTAAGGGGGTGTGAGTTCTCAAGGTTTGATGAGGGATAGGGGGCCAATATAAGGGCCAAGTACCAGCACCCATCGCACATCATGTGCGCACACCCCCCCGGCCCCCCGATCACTGGAACCCCAATGCCGCCGGTCAAGTTCTCTGGCGATGGTGTCCCGACGAAGAAAAATGCGACACCAGCACATGCCCGAGCCCAGCATGTGCTACCACAACCCTCGATCCGGTCCGATCTTAGACTGGGAATGAACTCTGTATGCTTAGACTGGGAATGAACTCCGTAAGCCTAAGTCAGAGAGTTGGTTGGGTAATTGGTCGGGGCAGTTCGGCGCTGTACCAACCCCTTGACTTTTGCCTTATTTTCGTTTTGTTTTTTTGTTTGTTTTTTTGTTTGTTTTGGTAAATATTATTATTATTAAAAATAAAATAAAATAAAATAGTAGACCCGGACAAAATCGGTGTCTACAGCTGCCCCTCTTTACACATTACTATGAATCAGGAATAGGGCAAAGACAAAGACAACGATTTTGTCTGAAAATAAATTGTGTTATTTTTTGGTTTTACAGAAAATGGCTCCTCTTAATAGAGGCTCAACAACTTTAAAAATCTCATCTGGAAAAAGCTCCTCTCAACAGAGGCTCCACAACTTTAAAAATCTCATCTGGAAAAGCTCATCTCAGCAGAGGCTCAACAACTTTAAAATCTCATTTGGAAAAAGCTCCTCTCAACAGAGGCTCCACAACTTTAAAAATTCTCTCTTGAAAAAAAACTACTCTTAGCAGAGGTTTCACAACTTTAAAAATCTCATATGGAAAAAGCTCCTCTCAACAGAGGCTCCATAACTTTAAAAATTCTCTTTTGAAAAAGCTCCTCTCAACAGAGGCTCGACAACTTTAAAATTCTCATCTTGGAAAAGCTCCTCTCAACAGAGGCTCAACAACTTTAAAAATTCTCATCTGAAAAAGCTCCTCTCAACAGAGGCTCCACAACTTTAAAATTTCTCATCTGTTTTCAAATTTGAGTTTTCATCTTTGAACAAGTAAATCTCTCTCTTTTGAATTCCTTTTTTTGATCATTGTCTTTACCAAAATCTTGTTTTTTCATTAAGAAAAGGAAAATTTCTATCTTTGTTACAACTTCTCATGGATACATGTATTGAGTGCTCATGATGCAATGCATGTAATGCAATCAAAATCGTTCATTGTAGTAAAAAGGTTCTCGAAATCTCTCACTTTCGGCTTCTTTTATCCGAGTTCTTATATGACCAATCTGTCTTCAACATCTGACCATAATATTTTTTCTTCAAAAGTCTACAACATCAATGACTTGTCATGCTTTTCTTATCCTTTTTCATTTGCCTTTGTCAACTTTAAAAGTAATGCTGAGATCTTTCATGTTTGTTTTTCTTTTCATCATTTTAAGTTCAAGACAAATAAAATGCAATCACATTTCTCTTATGGACAAAAATATCAGATAAGGATAAAGGAAAGGATAGGCATTATTTTCAAATGAAGGATAATGTATTTCCTATGGCTGATAACAAGTGTATGTCAAAGTGTTTGAGTTGAAATAAAGGTGTCAAAAGAATGATCACAAGATAATCATGAACAAAATATTCTCAGATTCTTTCTCTAAAACTAAATCAGATGACTTCCTTGATTATTCAGAGTTCGTCAAACTACACTTGCCCCTGCATTGTGGGATCTTTTCTTGATGATGCTTTTGCTTCACATCTAAACCGTCTTTTTAGGTTTTCAACTTAGATAAGTCATCATTTTTTTCTCTCTTTTTTTTAAGCAAAATATTTCTTCATAACATCTGAATTTATTAGGGTAGGTAAATCACCTCCATCCATTTCTGCCAAAATCAATGCCCCACCAGAAAAAGCCTTTTTCACCATATACGGGCCTTCCCAATTTAGTGTCCATTTCCCCTGATTATCATGTTGATTTGGAAGGAATCTTTTTAACACTAAGTCTCATTCCCTAAAGCAATGGGGACGAGTTTTCTTGTCATGTGCTCTCATCATCCTCTTTTGATATAATTGACCATGACAAAGTGCTGACAGTCTTTTCTCTTCTATGAGGTTTAACTGCTCGTAGCGATTTCGAACCCATTCTGCTTCCTCTAACTCTACCTCCATCAGGACTCTCAGTGAGGGAATTTCCACTTCGACTGGTAGCATAGCTTCCATACCATATAACAAAGAGAACGGTGTGGCTCCAGTAAACATTCTGACTGATGTTCTATAAGCATGCAAGGCAAAAGGTAACTTCTCATGTCAATCTTTGTAAGTTTCAGTCATTTTCTCTAGGATTCTCTTGATATTCTTATTTGCAGCCTCCACTGCCCCATTCATTTTTGGATGATATGGTGCTGAATTATGATGGCAAATCTTGAATTGAGTGCATACTTCATTCATCATTTTGTTGTTCAAGTTTTTGGCATTATCAGAAATAATTGTCTCCGAAAGCCCATATCTGCATATTATCTCTCTTTTTATGAACTTACATACCACAGATCGGGTCATGCTAGCATATGATGCAGCCTTTACCCATTTGGTGAAGTAATCAATCATCACAAAAATGAATCTATGCCCGTTCGAAGCTTTTGGAGTGATGGGACCAATGACATCCATACCCCACATTGAGAATGGCTAGGGAGGAGCTAGAACGTGTAATGTTGATGGTGGAGCATGAATCTTGTCAGCATAAATCTAACATTTATGACATCTCCTAGCATAATCAATACAGTCACTCTCCATTGTCAACCAATAATAACCAGCCCTCATAATTTGTCTAACCATCATATGACCATTTGCATGTGCCCCACAAACTCCATCATGCACTTCTTCAATAATCTTCTTTGCTTCAGCTGCATTTACACATCTTAAGAGCACTTGATCTCGACCTCTTTTGTAAAGGATATGTCCATTAATGAAGAAACTCATAGCCAATCTTCTGATAGTCCTCTTATCATTTTTAGTTTCATGTTTTGGGTATTGCTGGCTTTTAATGTATTGCATGATATCATGATACCATGGCTTCCCATCAACTTCTTTTTCAACACCTGAGCAATGTGCCGGTACATCTTTCACATCCAGCTTGATGGGTTGGATTTCAGTACTTGCATCTATTTTGATCATTGCAGCTAGAGTAGCCAGTGCATCAGCAATTTTGTTTTCCTCTCTAGGTAGATGCTCAAACTGAACTTCTTTAAATTGCTTAACCAACTCAGAGATGTATTTATGGTACCGAATCAACTTAGAGTCTCTTGTTTCCCATTCATCTCGTAACTGATAGGACTAAAGCTGAATCTTGAAACACATCTAACACTTTGATCTTCTTTTTAATTGCTGCTTGTAGACCCATAACACAGGCCTCATATTCAACCACATTGTTTGTGTAATTAAAATTTAATCTGGCTGTGATGGGGTAATAATGTCCATCAAGAGATATCAAAATTGCCCCAATACCATGACCCAAAGCATTAGTAGCTCCATCAAAATACATCCTCCATGATTTTTCAACAGGTTCATTTTCTTCAATGGCTATCACATCCTCATCAGAAAAATCTAATTTCATTGGCTCATAATCTTCAACTGCACGATCAGCTAGAAATTCATCTATTGCACTCCCTTTAATAGCTTTTTGAGTTACGTAAATGATATCATATTCTGAAAGCATAACTTGCCACCGTGCTATTCTTCCTGTCAATGAGGGCTTTTCGAAGATATACTTAATAGGATCCAACTTTGCTATGAGCCAAGTAGTGTGATAAAGCATGTATTGTCTAAGCCTTCGAGCTGTCCAGGTTAATGCACAACACATCTTCTCTAATGGTGAATACTTTGACTCATAATCAGTGAACTTCTTGCTCAAATAGTAAATTGCTCGTTCTTTCTTATTAGTTTCATCTCTTTGCCCCAGCACACATCCCATTGAATTTTCATGCACTGTCAAGTACAAAATCAAAGGTTTTCCTGGCATTGGTGGCACTAACACAGGTGGATTTGACAAGTATTCTTTGATCTTATCAAAAGCTTTTTGGCATTCATCATTCCATTCTCCAGGATCATGTTTTCTGAGAAGCTTGAAAATAGGATCACACTTATAAGTGAGTTGAGAGATGAAGCGAGCAATATAATTTAATCTCCTTAAGAAGCCTCGCACTTCTTTTGAGGTATGAAGAGGGGATAAGTATTGGATGGCTTGTATCTTATCTGGATCAACTTCAATTTCTTTTTCACTGACTACAAAGCCTAATAGTTTTCTTGATTTGGCTCCAAATGTACATTTGGCAGGATTCAACTTCAACTGAAATCTTTTCAACCTGTCGAACAGCTTTTTGAGACTGACTATATGATCCTCTCCTTCACGAGATTTTGCAATCATACCATCTACATACACTTCTATCTCTTTATGCATCATGTCATGAAAAAGAGTCACCATTGCTCTTTGATAAGTAGCACCAGCATTTTTTAACCCAAAAGGCATGACTTTGTAACAGAATGTTCCCCATATGGTCACAAATGTAGTTTTCTCCATATCATCTCGAGCCATCTTGATCTGATTATAGCCTGAGAAACCATCCATAAAGGAAAATATAGAGTGCCTAGCAGTATTATCCACTAGAGTATCGATATCAGGTAAAGGAAAGTTATCCTTAGGGCTTGCTCTATTCAAATCTCGATAATCGACACACATTCTCACTTTTCCATCCTTCTTAGGAACTGGCACTATGTTGGCTACCCATTCAGGATATTTTGCCACTTTCAAAAATTCGACATCGAATTGTTTCTTCACTTTTTCTTTAATTTTTAGCAGCATCTCTGGTTTCATGCGCCTTAGCTTTTACTGCATCGGCTTACATCCTGGTTTTAAAGGTAACTTATGCTCTAAAATATCAGTGCTGAGTCCTGGCATATCCTGGTAAGTCCATGCGAACACATCTACATATTCTCGAAGCAGCTCTTCTAGCTCCTGTCTTTTAGCTGATAAAAGAGATGTACCAACTTTGACCTCTCTTTTATTCTCACCATCTCCCAAATTTACTGATTCAGTAATTTCTTGGTGAGGTTCAATTGGCTTATCTTCATGTTCTATTAATTTTAACAAATTAAGAGGCAGTGTATAGTTATCTGAATCTTCCTCATTATCAAGTTCATCAACATGAATTAAGTTTTCAAAATCAAATCCGAGATTAATGCCATGATTATCCTCATGTTCATTGTTTGAGACCCTGCAAAGGGTAATATGGAGAGAATATTGGCACACAAAAATGGAATGGCAAGAAAATGTAGGAAAGAAAAGGATGAAAGGTAAAATGAAGATAAAAACAATAGAAAAAATACGGATGCATCTTCTAAGTCTTTTATTAAAATGACAAACATAAACACACCATAAAAGATCTCCTAATACTCGTAGAATGTAATTAGGGATTTAAAGTTTCACATTACTTTTCTAAAGTTTTAAAAACAACAGGTAGCTCTGTAACTTCCCAATTATCCAGCTCAAAATCTGAAGGACAAGGGTACACGAATAGATCTTCACTTCGACTCTTCTTTTCTCCATCATCCACCATTTGAATGGCCAGCTCTGAAAATTTTTCCACGAATCTTGCACTTGGGGCTCCCGGTAAATCTAGATAAATATATCCTCCCGAGTGAAAAGAATTATAGAGGTATGGAATGACTATCGGCTCTGACTCCAGCTCATATCCCTTAAGATTAGCTATCTTCTTATCTCTTTTCTCATTCACCATTCTTACTCTATCCCCTTTTGTTGGCTTATATCCCAAGCCAAACCTGTCTCTCTTTTCATATATGGCCGATGGCTTCGTGATTCCTTACAGGTTCTTCCCAAGTCTGACTTCAGGTCGCCATCCCATCTTGGTAAGCTGTCTGACTACCATTTTAGTAGTCATAGATAAGTGTGGCGAATACAATTTAGATCCTCCAGCTATATATGTTGCATTGGCAATCTCGAAGGATCTATAAGAGCATTCTAAAGCTTCATCTGCCGATTCCACATAAGGAGTATTTATCGATTGAGTTACCAATAAATCTTCTTCTCCTGCCACACATGTTAGCTTTCCTTCAACAATGAATTTGACTTTCTGATGTAATGAGGATGGGATAGCACCTGCCATATGGATCCACGGTCTACCCAATAGACAACTATATGAAGGAGAGATGTCTATGACTTGAAATTTCACGTTGAAAGTACATGGACCAATCTGCAATGGCACTTCTATATCTCCCAGCACTTCTCTTCTGGTTCCATCAAAGGCTCTCACTATCATATGACTAGGTTTCATATAAGATCCATTAACAGGGAGTTTTGCCAGAGTAGTTGCAGGCATAACATTGATGGATGAGCCATTATCAATCAAAACCTTAGCCATTATATGACTTTTACATTTCACAGTAATGTGAAGAGCCCTGGTACTTCCTCTACCCTCAGGAGAAATTTCTTCATCATTGAAAAAATATAGTTTGAAATCGTCAGATTGCCAACAAGCTGTTCCACATATTCAACAGAAGCATTGTGAGACACATATGCTTGATTTAGCACCTTCAGCAAAGCATTACGGTGTGACTCTGAATTGAGCAATAATGACAATAGCGAAATTCTAGCTGGCATCTTGTTAAGCTGTTCTACCACGCTATACTCACTATGTTTTATTAACTTCAAAAATTCACCTACTTCACTCTTAGATACTGGCTTCTGACATTCTTTTTCTGGTGTTGCATCAAGATCACTCTGACTTTTATTTTCTTCCCCTACCTTGGCTTTCTCCTTTCTAGCTTTTTCTAGAGCCTCTAGGGTATAGCACCTGCCACTTCGGGTTATGCCTCCTACACCCGTTATGTTGGCAGTATCTGGGTTGACTACGACATCATAATCATACTTCTAAGGTACTACTTTATCATTCTGATATGGAAAAAGGGCCAGGAACTTTAATTGTCACCACTGGTCGAGAGATGGGTTTTTCTAGCTTCGATGTTGGCTTCTCATCATAATAGATAGTTACTGGTCTACGTCCCAAACTTATTCTTTGAATCAATGGTAGACACTTTCACCAACTCTTCTCTCTCTTGGTAAAACTCTATTCGACCTTCATCCATCAATTTTTGCACCTTTTGACGAAATTGGTGACAATTCTCGATAGAATGCCCCAGAGCACCTTTGTGATAATGGCAGCTTTCAGTTGAGTTAACCGCTTCAGAGTAATTTTGAGGTTCTATCGACTTTAGCATGTCAGCTTTGACCAAGGTTTCAAACACTTTAGCCATAGGAGTTTTGACCTCTTCTATTCTTCTTTTCACACAACTTGTTTGCCCATCAATCAAAGCATTTATTGATGGTCTGGTATGATTTGGTAGAGGGTTCCCATTGACATTTGGAGTCCCTTGTTGGCTGGTATCAAAATTTAATACTCCTTCATTGATTAACCCTTGCACTTTATGCTTCAAAGCAGTACAATGCTCAGTGGAATGACCTGGATTCCCATAATGATAATCACAATGTGCATTGGGGTCATACCATTTGGGAAACGGAGGTTTCAAAGGTTTAATAATAATAGGAGCAAGCAGATGTTTCTTAACAAGTCGAGGATACAAATCTGTGTATGTCATGGGAATTGGGTCAAAATGAGGTCTTTCTTGATTGTTATTATTCTGTGAGTTTCTTTGATTGCTGTTTGGGTAGGTTGGTCGAGTAAATGGTCGAGCTGGAGGTGCCAGGGTGTAATTGGATGGTTGAAGGCTAAAACTTGATCTGGGTAACGGTTGTTCGGGGGCCCGGTAATGGTATGGTTATTGAGAGATTTGGTTTATGGTAGAGTAGTAATGGGGGTGTGGGTTATATGAAACAAAAGGATGGTGTGGGGGATTTGTGTGAGTGACAACATGTGTCTCCTGCTCTTTCTTCCTTAAGGTAGCTATCTTCTTTTCAAACCCTTCAATTTTACCACTTTTAATAGCGTTTTCTATCATCTCCCCTGAAATTACTATGTCAGAGAAGTTTTTCGTGGCATTTCCCACCAATCTGTCATAATACGGGGCCTTCAGTGTATTGACGAATAGCACGATTATCTCTTTTTCAGTCAGTGGTGGTTGTACTTGAGCTGCTACATCTCTCCACCGATGTGCATATTCTTTGAAGGTTTTCGTCGACTTTTTCTCCATATTTTGTAATGACAGTCTATCAGGGGCTGTATCCAAGACGTGCTTATACTGAGCAAGAAAAACTTTGGCCAAGTTTTTCCATGAACTGATCTTATTTCGATCTAATTGCACGTACCATTTAGCTGCTGAACCAGTCAAACTATCCTGAAAATAGTGTATCAATAGTTTGTCATTATGGGTATAACCCGTCATCTTTCTACAAAACATGGTGATATGAGCAGATGGACACTTTGTCCCATTGTATTTCTCAAAATCTGGGGTCTTATATTTTGGTAGGATAACCAAGTCAGGCACTAGGCTAAGCTCATTGGCATCAATAACCCCATAAGTGTCATTACCTTCAACCGTTTTAAGCCTCTCTTCAAGCTGGTCATACTTGTCTTGAATTTTTGAATTTATAATAGGTTCTGACATTTCGTGAGATTTCTCTTGCTCAACAGGGTCGTCAAGATTTGGTACCATGATGGGATGGACTGGGAAGGGTCCCGAATTGGCATTCAAGTGGGTCGACTGCTGATTTACAGAATGATTGACATAGGTATACCCCGAGGAACTTGAAACTGAACTTGAGGTGGAGTGAATCCAGGAGGGTATAATGGCTCTTCCACATTAACCTCATCTCCTGTCCTTGATACACCAGTGACTCCTTTTCCTTTCATTGATCCAATCAACAGTTGTCTTAATTTAGCCATTTGTGCTTCAATTCTTTGTTGTATTTCCATCACTCTTTCTTGTATCTCCTCCTGTACCCTTTTGACCCTTTCAAACCTAGCTGTATTCTTTTCTTTCATGGCTCGAGTCTGGGAACGAGTATTATATTTATGCAAAATTGACGAGTTATGGTTCCTTGGCTTTGCTATCCTTGAACCTTAGTTTATTAACCATGAATTAGATCGCATGATATAATGTCGTTGATATTATTGTTAGTATGAAAATGCATGCATGAAATGAATGAAATGCAAATTAGGGTATTGTCTTAGATCGATCGAAACAAAAAGAAACTTTCATTAACCATGGGAGTCTTTACACATCATCCAATCATTCTCACATTAAAGCCATAAAAACATTTGATTTGAGCATATTGCTCCCTAGCTTCATGCAAAAAGTGCAATAATCTTTGACTGTGGCCTTTGGTTGGTACAATCTCTCATTCCAGTGCTTTCGCCTTTTCAACCATGTTGCCTGCTTTTCGGATAGCCTTGTAGATTTGAGCAGTCAGGTGTTCGATGTATTACTGTCTCCCTAAACTTTTTGCTCTCCACATCTCTCGAGCATCTACCTCCATATTACAAGTGCGAGCCCAATAATCTTCTCTATCTTACCACTCAGTCAAAATCTCGTTTATGTGCCTCTGATTGCTTGTCAATTGAAGCTCCAAACTCATTAATTCATGCTCTAAGGCTTTTTTCTTGCTTTGCAAATCGGAGTTCTTGCTTTGTTCCCTCATTAGCTCAGCTTTTAGCTTTTCACTTTCTCTTTGGTGCTTTGTTACCTTTTCAGAAGCTCCTGAAAGTTTTTCTTTCCATTCATGTTGCTCTTTGGTGAGTGTGGAGATCATTTCTTTGTTCTCTTGAGCTCTGTTCTTCCAATATTCCACCATGTCCCATAGTTCTTCCACATCCTTCTTGGATCCCTTCAAAGGTCTACTATCCAACCTTAATTTCTTATTTCTTGATGCAGATCTTGCAGATCCTCTTTCAATACTTTTCGTTCTTTAGTCAACTTCTGTACTGCATCATTTTTCATCATCAAATCATATCTTAGTTGGTTAACCTGATCCATCATAGCCACTTTTTCTTTCTCTAACCTTTTCTTTTCAATCTCAAACTCTCGTTGAGCGATCTCAAGAGTCGACAATACCGATACTGAAATAGGAACCGATAACTTCTCTGAAACATCAGCTGGTAGAGGCCTAATTTCGTTAACTCTTTTCATCCTCCACGCAAGGTAACCTTCAGCAACATTATCTGCGAGTCTAGCTAGGCACATTCGGTTGACCTGCTTCCATGCTTTGATGATTTCACGAACCCTTTTCATATAACCGGGTGTTCCATAATCGAACTCAAGTGAACCAAGCCTATGAGTCATAGGGATGAACTATCTTGAATCATATTGTCTTTGAACCATAAGGGGTGCGTAACTCACTGCCCCCCATATTCCTAACAGAGGTACCCATGACTCGTCTCCACAACTATATAAGATAGCCATCGAAAGCATCCATGGTGCCCTCCATGTTACATCTTCGTTAGTGAGCTTCAGAAAGAATGCCAACCATTGACTTTTTGTCTAATCTTTTCTTCATTCTTTAGTCATAAACTCCTTGATAGGACTGAAATGCACGGAGAATGGTCGAAATGATGTCTTTTCTTTTCCCCAAAAATGGCTTCTGAGCCAGACAAAAAGTAACTGAGCACACCCCATAAATCGTCCTTCACCCTTTCTTCGATAAAAATTAAGTAATCTAATAGTTTTTGCCAAAATAGTTGGTGAAGGGTTTATACCTTTATCTAATTGCTCAAAGAAATCAACCACTGATGCTTCTATATGTCCTAAAACCTTAGGAAATATCATCAATCCATAGATGGCCAAAGCAAACACATGCAACCCCTGATCGGTATCAATATACTTTCTTATGTACTCAAGCAAAAAAGCTGATGGAATGGTCTCAACCCCATTTTTTTCTTTCTTGTGCTTGTCTATCTCTTCAACCTCCATTTGCATGATCTTGGCTAATTTTTTTTCTATATCCGGTGGTCTTATGCTCTTTCCAATAGATCTTGTCTTGATTGGTAGACTCTATCCGAAGTAAAGAAGAATATTCTTCGATCGTGGGAGCCAAGTCTTCTTGGTTGAATACAAAACATCGATAAGGTAGATCCCAGAACTGTATTACGGCTCTCATTAGCTTTTCATCAACCTTCACAGACATAAGCAATGCCACATCCCCACATTTCTTGGAAAACAATTCTTTTTTCTCTGTTCTCCACTATTTCCAAATGGCTTCCAATTCTGATATATTATTCTGATCGAGATCCATATGCACTGACTGTGGTAGCACCGATATATGACCATCTACTAAGCAATCTCCTTCTTTCCCTTGAGTACCTTCTGAATGGCTCTTAACCTCTAAGTAGCTCTCACACACAGACGACATCCTTTAGGTTTTTTTGAAAGTTTTTTTTTTTGTTGAAGATTGGTCCAAAACAATACCCTCTAAAAATATGGTACCTATATGATGCATGCAACAAAATTGAAGACAATAAAACAAATCAAGAATGTAAATAAAACAAATAAATAAAACTGAGTAAATGAATGAACAAGCATATCAGAATATACGTAGTGTCCTAATTTAGATAATTATCTCGTAAAAAGGATAGTATGGCTCTATCCTAAAGTTGGACTTCAGGGTTCACTATATGCCAGGTTAAGATTTACATGTCTAAAGGTTCCCAGACTATTCCTCACATCATCATCCATTATAGACTAGTAAGGTTCCTCGATCCTCACCCATTACAGGCTACTAACGGAACGGGTTCAATCTGAGTGGAAGTGTTTCGCTAGCAAATGCGGAGGTTATCACCTCACGAGAGCGTAGCTACTTCACTTCCTCCTAAAAGGATGGAGCCCGGGTATAGAGCTCATGTATGCGAGTGAATATGCAAAGTGTGTGCAAGGTAATGTATTAATCAAAATAACATGAATAAATCAAAAACAAAATCAAAATGAAGTAATAACTAGCACATAATTTATTTCATTTATTAACATGACTGTTTTCAAAAAAATAAAATAAAAGAAATTAAATTAAATATAAAATAAAATCAATTAAATCCAACTGTTGTCAATAGTGCATTATTTAAATTTTGGCCTGACTCTCAAATAATTCCCCAGTGGAGTCGCCAAGCTGTCGTAACAGTTTTGGGACCGTCAGACATAAAAATGAGTTTAAAATCGAGAAAAATAAAAAAGAGGGAGTCGCCACCAATCTTTGTTAGGGTGTGATTGGCCACCCAAAAGTTTATCTTTTTAATAAAACTATAAAAACGAGTTTGAAGTCTTACCAAAAAGATAAATTTCGGTCTGCAAAAAATCAGGTTGGGTCCAGGAGTCGGTTACGTGTGGGGAAGGATTAGCACCCCCACAACGCCCATAAATTGGTACCATTTAATTATGTGCTATTTTCGACATTGGATAAAAATGGTTTTAATTTGAAATTTAACATTAATTCCCTTCATTTAAAAAAAAATTGCTAAAATATTTATTTAGAAATATTGAGAAAATCTTTAAGTCAAAGAATTATCTTAAAATTCTCCATCGTCTAGGCAAAATTTAAAATAACTCTTTTCGCCTAAGATTTAACACAATAATCATTAAAATAAAATAACAATCTTTATAGGAAATAATTGTTAGTGACTCTCCAACATCTAGGCAGAGTACCAAGAATTATTTCTCTCGGAATGTTATTTTTTTATTTTATAATATCATAAAAAGATTTTTTTTTTAGTATTATTTTTTTTTTTATTAAAAAATATTTTATCAGTAAATTAAAGAGAGAGTAATGCAATCAATTATTGATGATAACATGCTAACGTATATCATGCTAATGAATGTCATGTAAAATGAAATGCAATGTAAGAGTTGGATTCTTAAATATAATGAGACCACCCCGATTCTCCAACATCTAGGTAGAGCTTAGGTGCGACTGTTTATATTTAAGATCCCAATTTTATTATACTTTTTATTTATTAATCTTATTATTAATACAAATTAAGAAATTCGTGTTGAAAAGACTTCACGAAGTAAAATTTCTTAATACCCCATCATCTAGGCGCATTCGGGAAACAAATTGCTTCAAATAGAATTTTCACGCGTGTCCTTTAGGATTTTTTTAGGACTTTGGATTTCAAGGATTTTGGATTTCGGGGGTTTTGGATTTAATGGATTTTGGATTTTTAGGGGTTTTAGAATCCTAGGATTAAGAAATAGTGCTTAAGGTTTCGTTTTTTTAAGAAAATACGAACATCTCTAAAAATCCCCAACATCTAGGCAGATTTTTTAAGCAAGTTCAATTTTAATAATTTTTGAAGATTAATTAAAAATTTCTTATGTTTATTTATGAAAATAATTAACAATAATTCCCCAACATCTAGGCGGAATTATTGTTTTAGAAAAATATTTTTATTCCCTCCAACATCTAGGCAGGGAAGATTATTATTATTTTTTTAAAGCATTTTAATATATTTTTATTATTATTTGTTCTTAATTTTATTATTATTAAAATAATTAAACATTTATTCTAACAAATTTATAAATTTATTATGCATAAATATAAAAATATATTTAAAATAACAAAAAATAATAATAATAAAAAATTAGAAAATTCAAAAAAAAAAATTTTTTTTTACCTGAACCGGACCGGTGAACGGTCTGATCAATGTTGGTCCCGGTGATCTGACCGGTTCGACGGTTGGATCGGCGGTTCGGGCGATCTAATCGGTTCGGCAGTCGGATCGGCGGTCC